GAACAACAAAGGAATTTTGGAATGAGGCAGATCTGTGAGAAGGCATGTAAAGATTAGAAGGTCGAGATCTTGTGGACAGGGAATGGACTGAGGATTTGAACTGGAGAAGATTGTAGGCGTAAGAAGGACGATGACTGTTGATGATTTGGTAGAGGAACGTACCTAGGAAATATTGTCTTCGGAAGGAGGGGAAAAGCCACTTTAACTCAGCATAGTGGTGAGAAACATGGGAGTATCTTGGGGCCCCGATCACAAATCTTACACAGCTGTTCATTAGTCTTTTCAGTCTATCACGGAGCTCCACAGAGAGGCCATCATACACCACACAGCTATAGTCAAAGTGGGGGAAAATGAGAGAGGAAACTAGGAGTCTACGCGTATGTTGAGGTAGGAGATGGCGGAAGCGATGGAATAGTTTGAGGGTGGAAATTGTCCGTCGAGAGATATGAGAAATATGGTGATTCCAAAGGAGGTTTTGATCAATGAAAAATCCTAAGTTTTTAACAGAGGAGTAGAAGGAGATTGGCTGGTCATTAAGGTGAAGGATGGGAAAGTCTGGATGGGATCTAAGAAGGGGCTTGGAAGCAATGACAATGGCCTGAGTTTTGGCGGCATTTAACCTTAATCCATTTACATTTGCCCAGGCACTGATTCGATCTAGGTCTTCTTGGATCTTGGCAAATGCCCCCAGTAACTCAGGAGGGGAAAATGATAGGTAGATCTGTGAATCGTCTGCATAAAGGTGATGGGAACAATGGAGAATTGATTTAGGTAGGTCGTTAATGTAGGAGCTGAAAAGGAGAGGAGATATGCTTGAACCCTGGGCAACTCCAGAGGATAAAGAAAGGAAGGCAGATAGTGGTTGGTTGGGTATGGAGACTGCTTGGGTACGTTGTGAGAGGAAAGATTGAAACCAAGAGATGGAACTATTGGAGAAGGATAATAATTTCAGTTTGTTGAAAAGGATAGAATGGTTAATGGAATCGAAGGCTTTGGAGAAGTCGAGAAGGATAAGGATGGTTAACTTTTTATCATCTATTGCAGTTTGAATGTCGTTGGTGATTTTAATTAAGGCGGATTGTGTGGAGTAGCTGGGACGGAAACCAGATTGGAGAGGATCAAGTTGGTTGGACTTTTCAAGGAAGTTGGAGACTTGGGATTGCACCAATCTTTCTAGGGGTTTCGAGAGGTTGGAAAGAATTGAGATTGGGCGGAAATCTTCGGGTGAGGTCGGATTAGAATTTCTATTTAAAGGAAGGACAATGGCTTGTTTCCAAGATGTAGGGAATACTGAATTCTGAAGGGAGAAATTGTAGATGAAAAGAAGGACTGGGAGGATTTCAGGAAGACATAATTTTATTAGTTTGACAGGGATGCCGTCCGGTCCTATGGAATTGGTGTGGGATTTCATTACAGCGGTTAAAAGGTCTGTAGGGGAAATGTCGGAAAAATAAAAGTTATTGTCGTTAAATGGTATCTCTATTGGGAAGTCGGAACAGGAGGATAAAGGAGAGGTATTAGCAACAGATATAAAATGCGAGTTTAGATCATCAGGGGATATTGGAAAGGCTGGAGTAGGGGATCGGGAAGGATCACAAAGGGAGAGTTTACGAAGCAGTCGCCATTTTGATTTTATGTCAGGAGTTGAGGAAAGGGCTTCGTGGAAGTAGAGGGACTTCGCACGCCGGATCCTTGTTTGTGTCAAGTTGCGAAGCACCCTGAACGCTTGGTAGTCATCTGCAAGCCTAGTACGTCTGAAGCGTCTACGAGCAGCGTCGCGCCTCTTCTGCAGGTCTTTAATTTCCTGACACATCCAAGGAGCAGGCCGGTGACGAAATGTAGAGGTTTTGAGAGGGGCATGGGTATTGAGGATATTGAGGAGATTGGTAGTAAGAATATCGACCATAGAGTCGATAGAAGTGCAAGAATATATTTTATTCCAATCTAGGATTTCCAGGTCAGGTAATATTTGTTCTCGTGTAAGGGAATCTAGATGGCGGAAGGTGATAGTTCGAGGCTGAATAGGAGGAGTTTGGATATTATATGTTATTTGTATCAGATCGTGAGATGACAAAAAGGATACTGGCAGTTGTGAAGAGGAGAGGAGGTTTTGTGCAGAGTCTATAATATAGAAATCTATCCAAGTGTCGGACCTGCTAGTATGGTGAGTGGGAGAAAAAGGAACGATAAAGAGGTGAAGGGAGAAGAATAGGTCTTCTAGATAGGATTTGTCATTGGAGTTAAATAGGAAATTGGTATTGAGGTCACCTGAGATGATTATTCTGGGATAGAGGGGAACGAAATTCAATAGGGTAGATTCAAAGGACGTGTGAAATGGAACAAGAGGAGGACGGTATACCACAGCGTAGAGGAGAGGAGAAGTATTACAAAGGATTTCAACTAATAGGTATTCAATTTGTGGGTGGTTGGAAGATGGGGATAAATCGAGTATTCGGGTCTTCAGGCTATTGTGGACATATATTGCTACTCCACCGCCAGTCCGGCTTACCCCGTCATGACGGAAGAGGTTGTAATTAGGCAGGGAGACAGAAGAGGATGGGATATAAGGTTTGAGCCAAGTTTCGGAGATAGCTATAATATGGTAAAAATTTTGAGTGAAATATTGCAGGAATTCGTCATAGTGCGCGGGGAGGGATTGAGAGTTAACATGGCAGGTGATTAGGGTACTAGACATGAGAAGTATTTGGAAGGAGACAGTCAGAGTTCAGTAGAGAAACACTAAAACAAATAAAAAATACAGAAAAGCTATTACAATTAATGAAAATGAGAAAAAAGAAAGTGTTTAAAGAAACAAAAAATAGAAAGCATATAGTAAATAATACATAGGCTAATATGTGGAAGTGAAGAAATACAACTAAAAGCGAAAATCTTTCTTCGAAGGGAATTTTGTCAGTAGTTATTTTGATAAGGATGGAGGGTAGACGAATTCTGTGTAGTCAGGTAAATATATCGAGGTCCGAGGCCTGTTCGATCATGATAACCTTATGCCCGTCCTCTTTTCGACATCGCACCTTTCCAGCGGCAAACCAGCAATATTTGATTTTCCCCGCTGCTTTCTTCTGTCGGGCAAGCCAGTATAAGTGCCTGTTCGTGTGAGTCATCTCCTCTCCCAGATATATCCGGTGGCAGTCATTCTCCTGCCAACCGATATCCCGCGTGGAGAAATCCCTCTTAACTTTTCTTTTCGATATTAAATCGTCTCTGACTGATTGCCTGACAAATCGCACGATGACAGACGGCGGTCGCGGGTCATCTTTCCTGCTTCTGCGGCGATGCACCACATCCAGATCTTCTGCACTAAGCTTGACTCCCAGGCTGGCTCCTACACTGGTCACCAGACCGGCGGGCGTTTCACCAGCTCGCTCCGGTATCCCTCGGATCTCCAGTGATCTGGATAACAGGCCCTGCTCTGCATTATTCAGGCGAACTTCTAGTTCGCCCACTCGGGATTTGAGGGCTTTATTTTCCAGAATAATTTCTTCGAATTTACTGGCTTGACTTTCGAGGTGTTTTTCAATTTTCGCTAATCTTTCATTTACCTCAAAACTGAGCTCCACATATTTATCGAGGGCTGTTTTAACGTTTTTTACGTCTTCGTTCACGCTTGAATATAGACGATTTACTGCCGCCAGTATTTCTGAGGCAGACGGCTCAGTGTTGGTTTTTTTGGTCTGGTCGCAATTAGGGCATACCCATGTTTTTTTGTGTGCTTTTAGTGCTTCGATGTCCTTATCAGATAAGTTGAAACACCTACTGTGGTAAATAATTTTACATTTTGCACAATTAATGTTGTTTTTGTCCTCGCGTGCAATAGTATTATTGCAAATATTACACTGCACCATATTTTATGAGAAGTAAACTAATTAAAATGTAAATAAATACCGGTAGACAGTTGTTGATGTGATGAAAGCAGTAAACAGCGTGCTTAATGCCGTAAGGATTAGTAAGAGATTACAGTCCCGCACTTCTAGGAAATCAGTTAGAGTTATGCACTTTTTTACGTAAATATACGTCACTTGAATCAGTGAACACTAATAAAGTTCTAGAATAAAAGAGAAAAAAACAAAAAAAAAAAATCTGAACTCAACATAAACTGTAGTGTAGACTAAAATAAAGAAAAACTGTGTAGATATTTAGAGAGAGAATTATAGCGATGTTCATTGGTAGCTGTCTCTGGCCAGACTCCAATGAAATATATATATATATATATATATATATATATATATATATATATATATATATATAAACTTCACTATTTAATTGGGAATAAGGTCCTTTTTTTTTTTTTATGTATTGCAACTGTCACAGGGACCTTATTCCCAATTAAATAGTGAAGTTTAAATTTAATACTCAAAGGTCGATTAAGGAAAAGTTGTGAAGATATATATATATATATATATATATATATATATATATATATATTGGTTTGTATCTTCTATATATATATATATATATATATATATATATATATATATATATATATATATATATATATATATATAGAAGATACAAACCAAAAATAAAAATAATGGTGAATTTAGGGCATAAGTTAAAATGTAAAATAAAGTGTGATAAAATATGAATAAGATTGATCCACTATGATTAAGGAAAATTGGAAAAGCTTTAATAATAGAAAATAAACCAAATTAAATCTCTTTCAGGCAACATAATGTTTAAACAACAATACAAGAAAATGTAATACAATAAAGATGTTAAAGCTATTAGCACAATGATTATAAACAATTTATAAATATGGAGAGAATATTTATATCAAATATTAATTTAAATAAAGTCAATCCTAAATGAAATAGTAAATTATTATTAATTTACAAAACAGTCTTAAACATAAGAATTTATTTAACTTTTCAAAAATATTTTAAATAAATGTCTTTAGTAAAATTTTTAAATAAGAAATATGAATAAATGTACTGTCATTTTTTCTTATTAAATTATGAAAACCTCATATCAAAATGGTCTACCTTAGATCTACCCTGAACATGTTTTCCAGAATTAAGTTGAATCCAAGCATCCCAGCGATGCCTATAAAGTGTAATTCTATTCCATTGGTTAAGAACAACAGTTTCTTGGGAACGCACTACTCCTACACCAGAGCCACAATCAAACCTAAAATCAAGCAATATCAACAAATAGTTTAATTAAACCATTTAATTTGTATGTTATTTGTTATTATCAAAGAAGGAAGGCTAAAGTTTCTGAATAGGTTAATTTATTTTATTTCTTATTTGAAAGTAATGCTCTGAATTATCATTTTACCATTTTTTTTTTTTAGTAATCATTTGTAACGTACAGCAACATTTAAATTATTTTAAAAAATGAGTATGATTAATTTTCAAATTTCCATCTTATAGTTCTTCACTGTTACCAAATTTTTACAAACCTAAACTCAACAAATCCTTGATGCAACAGAAGCGCCATAAAATCACCAACAAGATCATCTCTTTCACCAGTTAAAAATAGTATTCCATCATATACCTCAGGTCTGAATTCTATTTCAAGTTGAACATGCTTATAAGCAGCTTTAAGGGCAGGGAAAGCAAGCCATCCCTGACCAGAAAATCTAGGAATTTGAATATCCACATCTAAAACAAAAGTGCTTTCTTATCATCAAAATATTATTTATTTGGTGAAAACTAATGGACACTTATGAGTAAATATAAGCTTTTAACAAAATGGTCATTTAATCACAAAAATCACCTACAATTTATTATATTATTTCATATTGATATGAGAACTCTTGGTTTTCATTACCCCACCATCAATAAAATAACAATAATTACATATATAATTTTAAGTATGTTTTGTTAAGGAATTAGTCTGATTTTATAAAAATAGATCACAACAGAAAGTATGCTGTTTTTATGAGCCCATTTGTTATGCTGTCAGATTTTTAAAAAGAGGTATGTACTTAGCATACTTATAGTTAGATCACTGCGATTATGAAATATCAGATTAGATCAAATTTTACTATCAATAATTATTTTTATTAGATAGATACCATTATTAGTCTAAATGAAAACTTACAAAATAATGAGATTGAACTTTGAAAATTACCTGTTTTACAATGAGGACCAACTTTTCCAAGTGGACATTGGCAGCGTGGAGGTTCAGTTAAACAGAGCCCTTGTCCACAATCAAGACAAGGCTCAATTAAACTTTCAGTCGCTCCTGTAGGACGAGGTGTTGTTTCTGGATATTTTTGTTCAAGGTCTGGACTCTGACTTGTACCCAAAACTATTTCAGCCGAAAATGAGGCATCTTTTTGATAAAGAACGTCTTCCCCCATTTCTAGTTCTACTCTTTCTGGTTCCATTGTAGTATTAAGTTCTAATAAACAAAAGAAAAATTAATAGTAAAGAATCTATCAAAAGTTTTGTATCATATAATAACAATAAACAAGTTTATAGTAAGTAAATTTATTTCATTTAGGATTTTAACAAGCCACGGACTAGTTATCACTAGATCTTGATATTCTTAAGTGTTTGTGAAAGATTAAAATTATAAAAAAGAACATTTCAGGATGTAGTTTTAAAATCAAAAGTTGCCTGAACATTAGTTTGAATATTAGGTGTTCGCTAGTTCATTCTCTGTAGGGACGCCGCAGGCCTACTCTGTTCGTCTAGTCCTGGTTTACCACAGATAATCATTTTGGTGCTTAAACCTGCCAATATAAATATATATATAAATATATATATATATATATATATATATATATATATATATATATATATATATATATATATATATATATATATATATATATATATAACTTACGTCTGTTCGAGCAAGAAAAGATAAAAAAAAGAAAGAGAGGTCCGAAATAAAACACGTGGTTACTCAAATAAGACTGACTTTATTCTCTCCGTAATGCTATATATATAGCATTACGGTTTGTTAACAACTGTTGAATAGGATTAAATAATATATCAACTTACATCTAACCATAACTCCCCCCCGCCAGTTTATGAACACTCCTCATAAACTAATGCAGGGTTACTGCTATAATACATAACAAAACAAAACAACAAAACAAAATAATCTTCCTTGGCGTTCCCATACAGCAATAGTACAGAACAAATAAAATTAAACATTTTCTTGCAATAAAAGAGCCACAACTGAAATAAACCTTCTACCGTCCTTCCATAGCTTGTAGGAGACAGAAAAGAGGATATACCACTTATTTATGTTACTGACCCCGCTTCTACCGGGAGTTTCAACTGTTCTATGTGAACGGTCCTCCGTTTCCTGAGATCGTTCAGACTCTGAATTGTACAAAGATTGTGTTCGCGAAGTATAATCACTTTGAATGGTCCTTCGTAGCGTGCCAGTTCTTTCCCCCTATTAGAACCGATCCTACGATAGACTGTCGTCCCTATCTTCAATTCCCCCATTCTGTCTTTGAGGTTCAAATTGACCTTCTCCACCCGTTTCCGTTTTTCCCTCTCTATTTTCCCTCTCGTTTTTTCCCACACTTTCTTTATCTCTGCTCTGTTACAAGTGATCCGTTGAGCTTGTGCTTCGTCCGTGAGTGTTTCCATCCAATCCCGTCGCCGTATATTTACTCCGAACAATACCTCGACCGGAGAAAACCCTGTAACGGAGTGGATTGAATGATTATAGGCCGCTACTGCCCTTTTCATGGCTACATCCCCTTCCAATCCCTGCTCCCCTTGATAAATACGTAGGTGGTCGCTTAAAGTGCTGTGCAACCTTTCGATATTTCCTCTGCCCTTTGTATGTCCCGGAGTGTTAAAGTGCCAAACTATATCTAATCGTTTAACCTCCTCACGTACGGTACTGTTGTCGAACTCCCTCCCTCCGTCCGACGTTATGCGATCTGGCACTCCGTAGAACTGGGCCCACGTTTGTAGAGCCCCCACAACCGCCTCCGACAACTTATCTTGTACTTGATGTGTCATCGCTACCTTGCTGAAGAGGTCGATCATTGTAATCCACTTAAACCCCCTCCACGTGAATGTATCGATTTGCACACCTTTCAATGGCATATCTCCCGTAGGGGTTTCCTCCTGTAATCCTTGAGGTGGGCGTCTATCATACTTAGTGCGCGCGCACACTTCGCATCTCCCAATGATTTCTGAAATTGTCTTCCTCATGCCATCCCAGAAATATCTTCTGCGCAACGCCTGAAACGTTTCTTGTTCTCCCCGATGTCTTGCCCTGGTGATGTGCTAGTGTTACCTCCTTTTGCTGCTCCCTGTCCATTAACGTTTCAACTAATTATTTGCATTTAATGAACGACCTATCGACGCCTATTTTCTCTGCTCTCCAGAGTTTCTTGATCTTTTCCCAGATGGTCGCATTGCCCACGTACAAATGGTGAATTTTTCCCGACTCCGAAGCGTCGTGCAAGGCCTTACAAATTTCTTCTTCTTTCACCCCTGGTTGGGACCAAATGGTGTTAATTTTCTTCTTCCCATATTTACTGAAGTCGATCTTCATAAGCCCCGACGTTCTGGTCTTCCAAATGACCTGTCGTCGCTTATCATTGATGATGTCCTCACATTCCTCCATGTCTGTAGGCCTTTCGTCCACCGAGCTCTCTTCTCCTCTTGATTCCTCTGTTCTCGCATCCCCGGGTTCCCCTTCACCTTCCGGTGTCCACGCTCTCAAAAACTGCCGCACGTCCCTCGACGACTCCCCTTCTTCCTCCTCGATGGCATTTATCATGATGGCTCTGGACAGCCAGTCCGCTACCACATTTTCCTTACCCGGCTTGTACATGACCTCCATATTGTACTGGCTTAGAAATTGCTTCCACCGAGTGACCCTTGCTGACGATTCCTTCAGATTACCAACCCATTGCAGCGGTCTGTGATCGGTATGAACCTTAAATTTTCTGCCAAAAATATACGGTCTAAAATGTCCTACTGCCCATACTATGCCCAAGAGTTCCCTCTCCAGGGCGCTATACCGCGTTTCCGCGTCTGTAAGCCGCCGACTTGCATATGCTACCGGTTGTTCCCCATTAGTTCCTTCTTGAGCAAGTACTGCCCCCAACGCATACTCACTCGCATCCGTAGTGATGATAAACGTCTTCGTAAAATCGGGAAAAGCGAGTACCGGCTTATCTTATAACCTCGCCATGCACTTCCTTACATTGTCCTCTATTGCTGGCGTTATTGTTATCTTCCGGCCTTTCTTCAGAAGGTTATTAAGAGGTGCTAAATACTCCGCCATTTCCGGCACGAACCGACGGTAATAGTTTAGTGTCCCCAATAACCTGCGGATACCTTTTACCTCCCTGGGCATCTCCATATTTTGTATTGCCTCGACCTTCTGTTTATCGGGCCTGATCCCCTCCTTCGAAATGGAATGTCCCAAAAAGGTTATCTGGTCCTGTCCCAAAATCGACTTTTCCGCTGATAATTTCAACCCAAATTGCCGTAATCTGTCGAATACGCGCCCCAAATGATCACGTGTCTCTTCATCCTTGCTAAAGACCAAGAGATCGTCCATGTATACTTGACAGAATTCTTCGTCTAATCCCTCAAGAATTCGTCCATAAACCTCTGGAAAGTTATGGGAGCGTTCTTTAAACCAAATGGCATCCGAGTAAACTCGTAATGCCCCCTCTCGAAAGAAAACGCCGTTTTGTGTTGATCCCTGGGGTTCATACGAATTTGGTGGTAGCCCGCCTTTAAATCCAAAGTACTAAAAATGGTTGCCCCACTAAGTCTATCAATAATATCATCAAATCCCGGAAGCAGGTACTTCTCGTCTAGGGTGTTGTCATTGAGCTTTCTGAAGTCTACCACCACTCTGTACTTCTGCTCTCCCGACGTACTTTTTCTTCACCGCCCACAGGGGACTATTGTATGGTGACGTGCTGTCCACGATGATGCCCTGCTTCTTCAAACTTTCTAGCTCCTCCTTGATATGGCGACGTAAAGCCTGTGGGTAACGTCGCTCCTTCACGTACGTCACCTTTTCCTGTTTTAACGGAATCTCATGTGCCGTCCTCCCCGTTGCGCTCAACACCTCCCCATCTTTAAAAAAAATATCCGCGTATTCCCTCTTTATCTTTTGTACCCAATGTTCCGCTTGTTCTATTGCTCCAATGTTCCCTTTTTCTCCCACTCTCCCTTTCTTACACCGGTACCTCTTCCCTCCCATTCGCACCCTCCAACCCGTTCCCCTGTAATCTATTCTTGGTCTCACTCTACTCAATAGGTCACATCCTATTATACCCCCGTATTCCCTCGGCATATTCTCTACTACATGAACCCTCAACTTCCCACTTCCTGTTACCCATCTGTCTAAATCTAATTCTACTTCCCCTTCTATCCTACATGGACCACCCAAAGTAATCAACTTACACGTACAATTTTTTATTCTCGGTATCCTCTCTCCTTTACACAACTCCTCCAACATCTGTCTAGATACTATTGTACTAGAACTTCCCGTATCCACCAGACACTTTCCCTTCCCCACAACACTTATAATTGGCAAACCAACGCACTCACCTCCAATATTATTTACTACCGCGTGGCTGCCTCCCCTCTGCTCCTCTCCTCATTCGTCTGATCTTCCTCTCCTGTCCGCAACGGCTCCCCCTTCTCCACTCTTTCTGCTGATTCTGCCTCCTCGAGCTCCTCTTACCACCGGCTACTCCTCCTCGGTTCCAGATGTTCCCGACGACTCGTCTGACTCCGATGCCGCTCCTCTCTTCCTCCACAATCTCTGGGCGTTCACTTCCATCGGCTCATCTCGGCCCACTTCTCCCCGTCTACTCATATACGGGCATTGTCTGGCAATGTGCCCCTCAGTTCCGCATTCGAAACATCGGGTTCGCGGGCAATTCGCCACTAGGTGACCTATCTTTCCGCACCCGTGGCATCTCCTGTCCTCCTTTGTCCATTTCCTTCTCTCCTTTCCTGGCTTTTTCTCCCTCATTGCCGTTCTTTCTCTTGCACTAACTTCTCCTCCTCTTTTCTTCCACCCTTCCTGTCTCGTTTTAAACCTTCCGGTTTCTGCTCTCCTGTACGATACTCTGTTCCACCCATTCTCATTCTCCTCCTCTCCCCTGGCTGCTTCTTCCTCCCGCGCGCTTGCATCAATCATCTCCTGGGCACACTCCACAAAACTCTTGTCTCTAGGTAGTCCATCCCTCTTTCCCGTATCTCTACCCAGCTGAACTTTAAGGATGGTTGACAAGAACGCCATTCTTGCTCCTGTTTCCGCCTCACCCGCTACTTCCCTCGTCTTCTCAGTTACATTATTGAATCGTGCCAACAGGTTTGCGGCATATTGTCCGTTGGTCTGATACGGCTGTTTCTTCTCCCGAAACATCTGCAAGATGTCTTCTT